AAAAATTGTAAGTACCACCTCTTTGCTTATCATATTCTCCTGTTAGAAATCGAAAATTTTGAGGAACTTTATAAAAATGCTGCCTGCGAAAAATTGGAAGTGCCACCTCTTTCCTTATCATATTCTCCTGTTAGAAATCGAAAATTTTCACGAGGAACTTTATAAAAATGCTGCCTGCGAAAAATTGGAAGTGCCACCTCTTTCCTTATCATATTCTCCTGTTAGAAATCGAAAATTTTCACGAGGAACTTTATAAAAATGCTGCCTGCGAAAAATTGGAAGTGCCACCTCTTTCCTTATCATATTCTCCTGTTAGAAATCGAAAATTTTCACGAGGAACTTTATAAAAATGCTGCCTGCGAAAAATTGGAAGTGCCACCTCTTTCCTTATCATATTCTCCTGTTAGAAATCGAAAATTTTCACGAGGAACTTTATAAAAATGCTGCCTGCGAAAAATTGGAAGTGCCACCTCTTTCCTTATCATATTCTCCTGTTAGAAATCGAAAATTTTCACGAGGAACTTTATAAAAATGCTGCCTGCGAAAAATTGGAAGTGCCACCTCTTTCCTTATCATATTCTCCTGTTAGAAATCGAAAATTTTCACGAGGAACTTTATAAAAATGCTGCCTGCGAAAAATTGTAAGTGCCACCTCTTTCCTTATTATATTCTCCTGTTAGAAATCGAAAATTTTGACTAAAAATTTTATAAAAATGACTTCTTCAAGAAATTTTTAGGTTGTCTTTTTACTTATAGTATTTTTCTTTCAAAAAATGAGAAATTTTTAGCTTGTATCATTGTGGAATTTATTTTTGTTAATAAATGATTATGTTCTTTGTAAAAATTGTGAAAATTAATGATTTTAGCTAAAAATTTCCAAATTTTTTTTTTTTTTTTTTTACGTGGGGGAAATCCTCATAGGACACCTCGGTCTCTTTGGGGGAAGAGACCGAGGTAGTGCCGGACTCTTACCGGCTAAAACCCCCACGGTGGCCTTCTCTGCGCTTTTTGTGAGCACCGGAATATGTTTTCAAACATTTCCGGTACTCTCTGCGCTTTTTCTCTTTTTGGTACTTTTCGAAGATCGGGTGAAATTGCCTCAAATGTTTTTAGCGACGCCGGGACCACACCGGCGTCGCTACCTATTCAAACCTCCATTGACACAAACCCCCTCTTGTGTCAACGACGGTCTTTCGACCCTCGCTGAGATTTCTGTGAAGTATCACGAAATTCTTAGCGAGGATCGAATAATTACCAAACTAATAATTTTACGAAAAATTTCGCGAGCCACCTCTTCTAGAAATATATTCTCCTAATTAAAAAATATGAAAAAATAAATAAAAATATTTTGTAGAAGAATTTTTGATCATGTTATCAATTTTGTAATAAGAGAATATAGTTCAATAAGAGATGGCACATTTAAAATTTTCTTTGTATAATGAATTTAATGTACTTACCTCTTAAATACTTACATTTGCATACTTATCGTATTATGGTTTCATATTTGCAAGGACTAATTTTTCTATCATTTGATTAATTCTATCATTTTATTTAATTCTAGTATTTATCCGTTTTATGCTTACCTTTACATGCATTTCTGTTTGAGAATTTATATTTTTAAAAATTTCCTCATCGAAATTTTATATTCAAGAAATAAATTTTTAAATATGTTTTTCCATATCAATTTTATTATTGAAATTTTTGATATAATTTTGAGTTGTTAAGTGAATTTATATTGAATTTTTTAAATCAAGAATACACGTAAGAGTACATTATAATTATGTACAATCTTTTTGTGTTTCTATACATTTTATACCTGAAACATAATAATTTTACTAAAAGTTTTATAAATAGTATGATAAAATATTCAAGAAAATTCAAGTTATACTTACATCAATAAATATCTAAAATTAGTTCTCTTATCGCAAATTAATCACAATTTTATTCACAATTGTATCACTTCGAATATTGCACTAGATATTCATTTTCATGCAGAATATTGCCAGTTACAAACTACAACAACGAATCTTGAATGCTTTAGAAACTTCCTCCGAAAACCTCATACGAGAGTGACGAACGTTGATTGCGGGTTTAACTCGAAACCGTTCGATTCGGAAACGATTGCTCGCTTTCACCCTCCGATTCTATCGACATGCACCATTAGAAATGTATGTAAAACGAATCCCGAAGCGCTGCAAGAGAAGAAAGTTTATTTACACGAGAATATGGAGCACTATATTTCACAATATAATAATTGTCGTCCCTGTTTATCCATTATCATCTGTACACGTGAATATTTATCAATTCTCTATATATTTACTATGTCAGTACATCGACGTCGATTAACGCATTACACTCAACTTTCTAAAATACTCTAACTTTCTCGCCACGAAATCAGACCGATCTTCTATATAAACATATCAGAAACATAATAATCAATAAACCCCTTAAAAATATTAAAAATATCGTTTACAAACGTCGTTTGATCCGGTAAAAATAAGAAAGAAGGGAAAGGGATAAGAGGGAACGACGATCGTATTTAGTGAATACGTCACGTGTCATCGCTTCGAGGGTGACGCAGGGGACCACCACTCTGTCCTTACTTCCCTCGACTAAAGCCGTATCCGGTCGACGAAGAGGAGGAGGAGGAGGAGGAGGAGGAGGAAGAGGAGGTCGCGAGTGGCCGACTTCTTCCTCCTCTCCAAATACACGACACGCTTATCCGGCCGTCCGGTTTTCTCGGTCACGGCTCGACGAAGGGGGAACCACGCAGGACCCGAGGCACGCTCGTTCCTACATTATCCCCACGTGAGAGCCAGCGGGCAGGCATCGGGCCCGCGATTCTTCTTCTTCTCCACCGCGTCTCCTTCCATCTGATGAAGACGAGGAGCGTGCACAGGCCGGATCCAGAGGTCGGCGCGCCTCCACGAGCGCACAATTTTTCGTCCTCTCGAGCAAAACGTCGTTGTTCCGCGATCGTGTTGCCCGCTTCGTAGACGAGGATACAAGAAATCTCTAACTTCGATTAATTGGTTAAAGGGGAGACTTTGTTTGGGTCGAAGGGATCGGAAGATTTTTTGGTTTTCTTTCACTTTTTTTTTTGGGAGGAAGTTGATGGGCGAATGATCGAAGAGGGATGTTCTCGATATTCTTGATTTGAATTGAGGGTGGAGAAATTAGAATTGGAAATATTTTGTGTCGAGTATTAATTGGATTGATCGAAATAGTTGGTGGTGATAGTGAATGTGGTTTTGTGGATTGGAAGGAAGAGGGAAGGTTTTGATGAGAGATCGCGCGAGGGAAGAATGATGGCGCGAGGATTGCTTTTTCTCACTGTGGTAAGATATTTATCAATTTTTATTAACTGTAATATTGTTAATAAAAGTAGATATTAATATGTGGATATTGTACTATTTCCAATTTACGAATTCTACTTTCATCAATTTGTCAGAAATTAATTAAAACGTATCTCATATTTTTATAATCACGAGAAACTTTCATGGACTCGATGCATAAACGACGAATTACAAACGTTATAAAAATGATTGATGCAAGAAAGTTTTTAATATATTACATTAATGATTCATAGAAGTAATACTTTCTTGAAAAATTTCTAAGTAAAAATTCTTAACAAATATATTATTCGAATAATCGTTAATAATCAATTTGATATTGCACAAAATTTTAAATTTTCGTTATTTATCAAACTTGTAATCTATAAACGAAAATCTTACAAATTCTTCGTCAAAATTTCGAAGGAAATCTCGATATCTTCGTCCAGAAAAAAAAGCTGAACTCGCATCTGTCGTAATTCTCTTTATGTAAAGTGGAACAACCTTTGCGTGGCCTTGATCTGGTAACCCAGTGGAACCAGGAAAAGTAACTAGATTCCCTTAATTGCCTCGAATTCCCTCTCACATGATAGTGAAAGATCTATCGAAGATTAAAAATACCAAATCATTGATCGAACATGCTAATAATTTTCTACGTTATCATGTTTGATCGATCAATTCACTCTTCTCTTCGTTTTCTATCCTGTCAGAGAATTAGATTTTTCAAATATATTTTTTTTTTCTATTCGTCATTGGCTCGTATTTGATTGATAAAATTATATATAATAGGATGCAATTTATGTGTAAGTACTTTGTTATGCGTATGATTTCTGGATGATGCTATTTAAAAAAAAATGTGTGAGATGACGTGATAAATAATTCGTGAAAATAATATTGTTGATTATAATTTTACAATGACACTTTTAATTTGCTTTAATTTTATTCTGTAAAAAATATATGATCAAATTTTATCGAAAGTAAAGTAAATAGATAAACATAGATATTTATAAAATAATAATAATAATAATAATAATAATAATACAAGTTATAAGATATATACAATATAATTTAATTTTTATAACTTTTTTCATACTTAAAAACTACATATATGATTCTCTTTGAATTGAATTCAATAATTACATATATTACTTGGTATATCAAGTTTTATTCGATCCAATATATCGGAATAATCAATAGATCCAGATTTATAATTCACGAATGGATAACATCTTAGATCGATAAGCATGGTGAAAGTTGTCGATGATAATCTAAGCTTCAAGAAAGTTTTGTAACTGGAGAATATTATTATTGTTGATACTCGTAATAAAAAAAAAAAAGAAAAAAAGATCTTGCACGAAGGAAATCTTATAAAAGATCTTTACACGCGTATGTTGATAGAAAGTCTGTTTTATTATTGTATTATTATTATTATTTTTTTCTTTTTCATTCACGCGCAGACATTTAAATAACGAAGCTCCTCCTTCTAAATTTGTAACTCATTATATGATAATGCGAAAGTTAATGATTTCATAGCTAATTACAGAGTTGCAAGTTTGATAATACTATAATTAATTTCAAGAAATTAAAAATGAGGATAATGTATTGCGTGTACCTTAGATAATAATAATTCTTTATCTTCATCGACTTGATGCATATGACGACTAATCGAATTAACATCGAATCGAATTTGAAAAATCCTTCTTTATTCATTCCCTATATATAATCTATAGATCATAGAGATCCATTGTATCTATTCAATTCCCTAATTCCGTAAAGATACGAGAGGAAAAATGACGAAGAATATTGATCAAATAGCAGAAGGAAACGCGTTACACGAGTTTCAGAAAAATAATCGTGAAAATGGCAACCGTGTTACAAAATATCCTGAAAATCGTGCGTTATTTGCCAAGAATTGATGAACATCCTAGATATGAAAAAAAAAGAAGAAGAAGAAGAAGAAGAAAAAAAAAAAGATCACTCACAGTGAAATCGTACCTCCTCCTCCTCCTCCTCTTGTTGAGCATCATGGTTACTAGGTCACCGCCGATTGCAAACGAAGAAGAGGATATGTTGGAATTTCCACGTTTATGGTTATTTCATGTAACACGATCGCGAGAGTCTTTTCATGTCTCGTTACATCTTCCACTTTCTGTATTGGCAACGTTAACGTTTCTCGCACCCACATTTCGTCTTAATCCTGATCCTCGAAAAAATTCGGATCTCTGTAGGAATAATAGAATAATAGTAGTGGAGATATATTCTTATCGAGAGGACAAATAACACGATAATGGAACCGTTAGTTGATAAGAAACTGATACTGTACAAAGTATATTTGATCTTTGAAGACAAATGATATAGATAATATATGATCTTTGGTACGCTTGACGTTGGATAGATCTTGGACCACTTTTGTGAGACCACCCATGATCGATGCGATACGATCTGTCGTATCAATATGAGAGAAATCGTGAATAAATATCGTTAATAATTAAAAGAAAATACTCGTTGAAAATAATCAATTGTTATGAGATATAATTTAAAAATGTAATATTTGTTATAATTCATATTAAGATTTTATGGTTTCTTTTTTTTTTTTTTTAGGATAATATCACTTAAGATAATATCACTTAGGATAATATCACTTGACACTCGATAGTGCGAACAGGTGTTTGATATTATTAAGAAATTCATATTTTAGAAAGTACTATTCTATCCAAGATCCTGCATCAACGTGAAAGTTACACAACCATTCATTCAAATACAGAGGAATCGGGTAAACTTGATAAATGAAAAGTATTATAGATCCTATGCATCGTATTGTCATCGATTTATATAAATCGATAAACGAAATTTATTAGAAATTTTAAAAATTCAACTCGAAAAGTGGCCGCTCTTTCTCTCAAATATCCGGGAGGACAGAAATTCCATTTCACCTAGAAAACGTTATCAAATTTTAATTTTACATTTTTAATAAATCGCGAAACGAAAAGAATTTCACGTATGAATAATTCATCATGGATCAAAATTATTAATCTCGTATCCAATTCTTGTTAAATGCACGCACAGTCGATTCTATTTTTTTCTCTTCTTCTTCTTCTTCTTTTTTTCTTTTTTTCTCGAAACTATCCATTCCAATTAGAAACGTGCGACTTTCACCTGTACTAGGCGGAATCGTATCCGCTATTTTATCATTTCTCAGTTCGGCGAAAAATCGGCGTAATTTCACTCGAGATCGACACGTGCCCCGCTCGTTGAATCGGTGTTTTCACGACGATTTCACGAGTGTTACGCGCCGTCACGTTACAACGTCCACTTCCGGTTGAGGGGAATTAACGTTTCCACCGAGATCGAGATCTCTTCCGCGATATACGCGAGATCCAGAAGCTCGCGTATACGTTTCCTTTCGCGATCAATTGTTTCTCGATACAAGGAGAGAATAATCGCGCCATTGTGTCTGGAAAATTTTATTCGATTACAGGTTGCGAATGATGAGAGCGAAACGATCATCTGAACGAGATAAGGAACAAAAAAAAAAAGAAAAAAGAAAAAACGGAAGAGAAGTACTGTCTGAATGAATAGCGTTCTCTTCCTTCGTTTATATAAGTTTCATTCAATAAATTTCGTGAAAGGGGAAGGGAGAATTAATTATAGGTTTTATTCATCTGAAAATGACACGTGATATTTAATGTGAGAGACGAAGGAAAGGGAAAAATATGTTCATTCGAATGAATTCTGTGTTTTAGTATGGAATAAAAAAAGAAATTAATTATAGGTTCTGTTCGTCTGAAAGTAACAACACGTGATATATTGTTGTATACGTAAAAAAAAAAAAAAATTATGAATATTCTCTTCCTTTGTTTAAATAAATATCATTTAATAAATCGTGTTTTATGAAGGAATGAATAAAAGGAGGAAGAATTAGTCACGTTTACGAATCTGTAAACATGTTTAACGTTTGATTTAACGTTTGCAATTAATATTCATATGTATGGTTTGTCCGGCTTAAATCAATCGTTAATGAGAAATATAAAAATTTACGATCACTCGCATAAAATTTCATAGTCCACGGTTAAAATTTTGTATTGAATTAACAAACCTTTACGACGGGAGTCAATAGAGATATTAATCGACATTCTATTCTTTCAAAATGTTCAAACTAAAGAGAGAGAGAGAGAGAAAAAAATCCTAGGATAGAATTAATTTTATTCAAAAAGTTTAATATCATTCAAAAACACTCTAAGCGCAATTTCATATTTATTATATTATATTTATTATCACATTTATACGTTTAAATGGAAATCGAAATCTAAATACCACGCATAGCATAGAAAGCGCGATATGGAACGTTATGTCGTGGAAAGTAAATTAATTCGTCGGGTGAAAATATAATTGATCTCGTGAGAAGATATATAATATATTTAAAGATAATATATTTAATAATAAAACGCGCGATTTCTTTATGCCAGAAAAATTTCGACGCGATAACAACGAGATTCGTCTTACTTTTTCAGGCGTTCGTGCTACTAGCCTCGATCGACGTGAGGGCCGAGAAGAAGAATCCAAAGGACAATGCGACAAAGCTCGATAATGATCGGAAAGAAAGTAACGAGACGGATGTCACGTTGATGAGCGACGATCTTAAGAACAGGACGGATCAAGTACGAGAGAGCGTGAGCGAAATAAATTTCTAAGTACTTTCTTAAGTAACGCTTAAAAACGTCGAGTTGGCCGGGTTAATTGCAATTAATTTAACGTGTTAAACGTATCGTTGACGCGTTGATGGGAAACGTGAAAGGATAGATTCATCACTATACTCATCCATGTTTATTAGAGAAATTGACGATCGTTGTTCTCTTCGAATTTTACTATATGGTGTAATAAAAATTAATTTGAAACCGTGTAATTTGAAGAGTAATTATTTTAGAGATGAGATTGTTGAGATTTAGAAGAAGAAGTATGTATTTTTCTGTCAAATTCGATAGAGATTGGAAAAGGTTCGTGCCCTGCTGAGCAACGGAAGCCGACAAAATGGCAGCAGGGAGCTTGTACTACCCAGAAATATGGACATTGTCAAGATCGTATCCGATGATGCCACTGGCGACGAGGAATCGGTGGAAGAATTACCCGAGGTAAGTGATATCGCGAATTAATTATTCGAGAAAGAAATTTTTTTTTTCCAATGAAATTTGTCAGAATTAATTATCAAAGCAAATTACAACAAAGATTACTTATAAAGTAGACCCGCGAAAGAAAAATACTTGTTTATTCTCCATTCTATGCCCCGCAATCGATCCTTTTCTGAGGATGATGACGCGATGATTATAAATCTTGCATCCGTCCATCTTTATCGGCTTAAGATGAATCTTTTATTTATTCATCTCGACGACGAAGTTTCAACACCTTGTAAGGGGAAGTGACTCGTTTTGTACAAATCGTAAACATCGAGTAGGTGATTTAACTTCGACTACGTTTGCAACCGTACAAGGTTCAACATACCTTGTGAAGCAAATAAGGAAATTTCTGAATCTTGAAATTCTTTTTAAATACGTTTCTTCCAGAGTCGATATCATTGTATCTCGTACGAGAGATCGACGACTGTTCGCCTCGTTACTGGGAAACACTCTTAGAAAGTCACGTTTGGAGCCCCTTTCTATCGTAAATCACATCGAGACGTACAATTTTGTCACATATGAGCGCCATTCCATATAATTATTTTCGGCCTCCAACTTTCTGCTCCTTAACATTATTCGCAAAAATCCGTCCTAGGACGAAACAAGTTCGCCGTTATACAGATTTCTAAAATTATTACATATCTCTTCTTCGAACGTCACGTTTATAAGAACGTATAAAGTGAAAGACTCGTTAATTAAAAATAATGAATAGTTTAATAGTCTAGAAATATGTTATGTTACGTTTCTTCATCTCTTCTGATCCGAGAAATTTTCCAGGGGAAAACTTTTATTTGAAACGATAGGATTTATTTTCTTCCATGAGCACTTTCACGGAAGAAATCTTTATCAGCGATGTATTTATCGTCATTGCTGCTCGTAAGGATCACGGCCAAACCTATGTAAATTTCTCATATGATGCGATGAGACTTTCCTCTCAGGAAAGTTAATCAGAAATCAGGTTAAAATGTATACGACTGACATGCGTTGTTAAGCGTTGATCGAGATTTCTCCATCGATAAACTGAAATTGAAATTTACGTTTAAATAAGAGAAATAAGAGAATCCACGATAAATAACGATATTATCTCAACAATTTCACTAGGCATAGAAAGGATTTTAATTAAAATTATCTTGACAGGTGATATTTTTATTATTATTTATTTACAGCCACAAGAATTGAAAATCGTAAGGCCCAATTTAAGGAAACGACCCAGTTATCGACCACCTCCAAGAAGACCAGCACCTTTAAATCGGAGGAACGTTTTCACAGGTTATTGAGATAAATAAAATAATAATAAAAATTCGACCAACAATTTCCAATTATATTATAACATTCGATGAAAAAAAAAAAAACAATTCGCAGATATATCCAGATCACCATCCCTGATAAGACCATTTAGACGACCCACGGAAACAAAAAAACGAGATCCAACCGAGAAGGAATGTACTTTCTTCACAAAGACAGTCTGTCTCGAAGCTGTTGACTATCCTCAGTAAGTTTCCACTTTCCTTCTCTATTTACTATTACGCAATTAATCCATTTGATCCCCGCTCAAAACTTGAACTTTCTCTGAATGAACGACAATAATTCGTAAGTTAATTAATCGTTTCACAATGAACGTAGAAACGTAACTCGTTAAAAGCGCTTTCTCTCTCTCTCTCTCTCTCTCTCTCTCTTCTGTAATTCGAATTGTTCGAATTGCACAATCCTGGTTTCGACTTTCGTATTCCCATAAACATCATCATTTAATTAGGAAATTACGGGTTCGAAGATGAGGGAGGAAGTTATGAAAGGTACGATCGACTTTCTTTTCCTTTTCTCCACGTTTTGTATCGAATCGTGAGACGGATTATTGTTGTTTCCAAGAGTCGAATTATTTTATATCACGTTAATCGAAATCATTTTCAGCGAGGCCATCATGAGAAGTTTGAGGAGCAACAAGGAGATGGTCGCTGCCTTGTTGACTGACTACAAGTCGCAAGATTTTGATGACTCTGCCGAGACTCTTCCGGTTGCATTGCCTTTGGAAAATAAATACGAGAATCGGTACGAGAATAACGAAATTAGAAGGTAAGACTGTATGAAATTACACGTTAGTAAAATATATACGGATATATATGTGCCCCTTGCTGAATGGCAACTGCGTCGACAGCGGTGTAAGACTCAATAATATTGAATTTTAATATTTATGAGAATATTAATAATAAATATTAGAAATTTAAAAAAAAAATACTTAGATACATAGAATGTAAACTCAATAATTAGGAAATGTTTGATTCTTTTATATCTTAAATTATTTTTCTTTATATATAAATAAAATTACATTTCTCTTATTTAATTTTAGGAGATCAGATTTGAATCCATCGTTCGAAAATGTGGAAGAGGGTTTCACGTGTCCATCGGTGATCAAGTACGCGCGTCCACAATTGGCAAGAGCTGCTTCCGGTGTTTGGAAGTACATAATAAACACTGGGGAGCACACGCAAACATTGCGATTAGAGAAATGCTCGTAAGTTGGATTAATTTACACGAGATGTTACGTAAAAATCAATATAATCCGGCATAACATTTTCATCGACTTACAAGTTAAACTCTTTAGCCACGGTTAGCGATAAGAAGCAAAAAACTTCCTATTTAATCAGTCGAAGAAGCGAGCGTTACCTCGACTATTCGTTCCGTTGATTTGCTTCGAATCGAACCCGACACTTTCTCGTAAATTTTATCGATGTATCTTCGCTCTAACTTTAGAAATTCAATATCTACTCTGTTACACGCCATTAAACAAAATATCTTCTTTGTGGCGTCGAGCAAAGCAATTCAAGCAAGTAGAATCGATTCTGATCCATCCACTACGATTCACGACATGTATCATCGATAAATATTCTTCGTTTAATATTAAAAAAAAAAGAGAGAGAGAATTGAATTCTAATTTCAAATTTATCTTTTAAAATTCCATTTTCCAGGAATCCAGAAACGAGCTGCGCTTTCATATCCGAAAATTATCGTTCTTCCTGCTCGCAAGTGTACAATTATCACAGGCTTTTAACGTGGGACAACAAGTTGGGCCTGCACATGGACATTTTCAAAGTGCCAACTTGTTGCAATTGTCACGTGCACGGTTACGCGGAAATTTTCCCACCGCATCAAAAGGATCAACCCGCGAGGATCAAGGAATCCTTTCCTGGCTCCGATTTCATAACCAGCGAGCAGAAAGACGATTTCGAGGAATCGTCCTCGAAGCTCAATTATTTCAACAAGTTTATTTCATCCAGTAATTTCGATTCCGGTGTCGGTACGTTGAAAAATTAAACAAAGAGAATTGATTTTTCCTGTTTGAAGTTTGTATCATAATTATAAGACATATATCTACAATTTTGTAGTCTCGAGTAGCAAGAAGCCTGGGATAGATACTTCACCGAGTCGACCAACGTCGTTCACGCTCCCTGTAAGAACGAGACAGAACAAGAAGCCTTCGGCTACGAGTTCGAGGCCGTTCGATAAATTGCCCCAACAGCATGCACCGAATACCAGAGCACCGGGATACACTGGATCTTTATTGAAATCCAGACCAAACAGGGCTCCTCCCAATAGGCCACCTTACAGAAGGGAGTCTTACATCGAAGATCATACCGAAACTGTGAACAGCACCATTTTAAACAGGTAATATTTGTTGGTGTTATTGGAAGGGTTGTATTTAAAAAAAAAAAAATAATAAGAAATCGTGAATATGCGTAGATATAGTCAACCGTACGATTTGGAAATGGACGCCACGTCGAGGCTACAAAATGGCGGTTTCGACGACGAGTACCAGGAGCCGCAGAGGCGCGTCAATTACAATTACCATCCGATTATCGATTTTTTCAGACCGGAAGCGCTGCAGTTGCAGTCGTCTGAAACCACGTCGATGTCGATGGGACAAAACGATTCCAATTCGTGGAAACCGATGATTGCATCCTGAACAACGTTCCCCATTTTTCGGAGTACCTGATCTTTTCTTTCTTCCCGACCAGTAATAGAAGCGAAAATGTTAAAGCGAAAGTATTATATTGAAAATAGATATTATATTTCGCAGCTTCGTAGTTTCATAGTCGATCTTACGTAAAAGTATTCGTATTCGTTAGTGAACGACTCATTTCACAAATGTAGCAGTGTCTTTTCATCTTGAGAACAATTGGAAAATGTCGGATCGTTTTTTTTTT